AGCACAATCAGAAGGTGGGTTGTCATGTGAGGTCAGAGCCAAGACATGACTTTTGGGCCTTTGGATGGTTTGGTGGTTTAGTTTTGGTTTTTTGTTGTTTTTTTTAAGATGTGGAGCCCCCGTCCCAGCAGACAATAGGCACCAGAGGGAAGGTGAGCCCAGTGAGCAAGGTGAGCAGTGACTGCAGGACAGAACTAGATGCTTTTTTGCAGGCGGTGTACTTCTGGTGAATCTGCGTACATACTTGGTTTTTTGTTTTACAGGCAGACTTCTAACGTGCAGTCCAACGTGATGGGGACCCTGCCTGTAAGAGGTCACAGTCAAGGGGTGTCAGACAGAAACTGGCATGGGAGCAGCATACTCTTGGGCAGTATCTCAGTACTGGCATTTGCCTCTGGGTTTTTTTTTGCAGGAGACATACACAGCCTCACAGGGCCAAAGTCAACTCACAGTGAGGTGACGGACACGGTTTGGTCCTCTCGAGCTGTCCTTGTAATCTCCGAGTATTAAAAGGATCAGCAACGAAGCATTGAGCTTTTTTGGTTGCAGGTGCCATCCGGCTAACCTTTGGGAGCAGATGAGCATTTGAGGTGAGTCGGGGAGGCAGCAGGAGGAGCAGGGATCCACTGCAGCTTTAGAAATGCCCTCTAATTTTGTCTCTTGCTCGCTCAGGTATTCCAGAAGATGACAGCCACAGTGTCTGACTCCGGTCAGAGCCAGTGACCCAAAGACCTGCCTCGGTGACAGTGAGTAGGGGGCTCATCGGGGCTGAGGCCACATGCCACACTACTCAGATATTGTGTATGGTTTTCTTTCTTGTAGTTGACTCCATAAACTCACACAATGGCAGGAACCTCTGAGCCAGCCCAGGTGCCCCTCCTTTGCATCAAAGGTGGATTCGCATCCCCAGCTCTCGGAAAGATAAGTGCAGGGCAAAGACCCAGAGAGGGGTTGGGAGTCGGTCCAAGTATGTGCATTACCCAGAGGGATTTTTGAAATGGTGCAATGGGTATCCTATAACAGGTTATTTGGATGCATCAAAGGAAGGGCTTACTTTGTATCATTGGATTCCTGTGTGCAGGGCAGAGCAGTTCCAGTCTGTGTCACGTCCTTTGTCTCGTCTGTGTTTTGTGTCCTTAGGGTTTTTGCCTCTTGCCCTCGAGGGGCTTATGGGAAGCATCAGGCATCATCCTTAGGTTCTTGAAGGTCTTCTCTGTGTAACCGAGTACCGAAGTTGTCAGTCACTTCCTTTGCAGGTTCAGGCCTTTTTTGGAATCTGATCTCTGACTTTTTCAGTCAGACCTCTTTTAAGGCCTCATTCCAGGCTGTATCATCAGCGGTGCTCCGCAGTCATCCATCACAAAGCAGGAGGACTCCTTTTCCGCATCGTTCCGTTCTTAGCTTCCGAACGCGGCGACGTCGCAGATCCATCTTCAGGATTTTGACGGACCCTTCTTATGACCGCTCATCTTGTTAGCGTCTTTATTTGTCAGGATCCTTTGAGCCTAGTCACGTTATGATGGTAGTCCCGTGGGTCATGGTGTTCCACAGCATCTCCATTCTTGCAATCAAATCTTGTCAAAGCAAGGTTCGTCTCTTAATTGTGTCACACGGTCTGTGTCGTCACGGGTACGGGATGTCTGACTCGGGGTCAGCCTGGAGCTACTCTGCCCTGCCATGTGGATCAGTGGGTAGATGGAATATTGCTCAGTGTCTCACGTCAACATGTCAGTTACCTTAGACAGTTGAGCCAATGACTGTACAGTCCTGCTGGATGGAGCAGGTGTACGTAACTCGTGTGCAATCATTAGAACTGAGTGTTGTGGAGCTGATGGTACTTGGATAGCAGGGCCTTGAAGCTGGGTTGTCATTTGTCTTCTCATATGCTGCGGTCAGAGTTCTCATTTGCTCAGGGTAAATGAGTTCTTTTAAATGGTTAAGGTCTCAGTGACCACGTGGGTGACCTGATTAACATTTTTTTTCTTTTTTTTCCCCCAGATAAGTGGACACAATGTACCCCAGACGGAGAAAAGTTGAAGCAGCCTAGGAAGAAGGTTGTATTAGGTGTTGGATGAAAGATGCCAGTTTTACACGTAGAAGTCCTTTATCTTGTGCATTTTTGGTTTTTATTTTCCAGATACAGCGCATGTAGTGCCGAAAGTGGTGCACCAACAGCAGGTGAGAGAGGGGGACTCAGGCCTTTCTTTCTGGGTAGGAAGGGCAGTCATTTGCAGGCTGGCATGCCACGCTGCCGGAGGCCGTCCAAGGTCCAAAATTGGATACAGATGAAGATTCTTCCCAGACCAAAGGGGCCCGCCCCTCAAGCCCTGGCTGGGCGCGTAGTGCCGAGAGTGACGCACCAATGGCAGGTGAGAGAGGGGGGCTCAGGCCTTTCTTTCCTTGGCGGGAAGGGCAGTCGTTCGCAGGCAGGCGCGCCGCGCTACCGGGGGCTGGCCAGGGGAAAAATCGAATACGAATGAGGATTCCTCCCAGACCAAAGGTGCGCACCCCACAAGCCCTGGCTGGGCGCGTAGTGCCGAAAGTGGCGCATTAACGGCAGGTGAGAGAGGGGGGCTCAGGCCTTTCTTTCTGTGTGGGAAAGGCAGTCGTCTGCAGGCCGGCACGCCTCGCCACCGAGGGTTCAGCCGAGGGCAAAAATTGGATAAGGACGAAGATTCCTCCCAGACCAAAGGTGCGCGCCCCACAAGCCCTGGCTGGGCGCGTAGTGCCAAGAGTGGCGCACCAACGGCAGGGGAGAGAGGGGGGCTCAGGCCTTTCTTTCCTTGGTGGGAAGGGCAGTCGTTCGCAAGCAGGCGCGCCGCGCCACCGGGAGCCAGGCGAGGTCAAAAACCGAATACGGACAAAGATTCCTCCCAGACCAAAGGTGCCCGCCCCGCAAGCCCTGGTTGGGCGCGTAGTGCCAAGAGTGGCGCACCAATGGCAGGTGAGAGAAGGGGACTCAGGCCTTTCTTTCCGGTCGGTAAGGAAAGTTGTTCGCAGGCCGGCAGGCTGCGCTGCTGTGGGCCAGCTGAGGGCAAAAATCGATTATGGTCAAAAATTCCTCCCAGACCAAAGGTGCCTGCCCAGCAAGCCCTGGCTGAGCTCGTAGTGCCGGGAGTGGTGCATTAAGTAGCAGGCAAAAGAGGGGGGCTCAGGCCTTTCTTTCTGGCCGGGAAGGGCAGTCATTTGCAGGCCGGCGTGCCACGCCGCCAGGGGCTGGCCGAGGGCCAAAATTGGATACAGATGAAGATTACTCCCAGACCAAAGATGCCCGCCCCGCAAGCCCTGGCTGGGCACATAGTGCCGAGAGTGGTGCACCAACGGCAGGTGAGAGAGGGAGGCTCAGGCCTTCCTTTCCTTGGCGGGAAGGGCAGTTGTTCGCAGGCCGGCTCACCATGTCTCCGGGGGCCAGCCAGGGGAAAAATCAAATACGAATGAAGATTCCTCCCAGACTAAAGGTGCCCGCCCCGCAAGCTCTGGCTGGGCATGTAGTACCGAAAGTGGCGCATTAACGGCAGGTAAAAGAGGGGGGCTCAGGCCTTTCTTTCCGGGCGGGAAGGGAAGTCATTTGCAGGCCAGCAGGCCACAGTGCCAGGGGTCAGCCGCAGGCAAAAATCAAATACGGTCAAAAATTCCTCCCAGAACAAAGGGAAAGCCCTGGTTGGGCGCGTAGTGCCGCGAGTGATGCACCAATTGCAGGTGAGAGAGGGGGGCTCAGGCCTTTCTTTCTGGGTAGGAAGGGCAGTCGTTCGCAGGCAAACTCGCCCCGCCACTGGGGGCCGGGTGAGGCCAAAATTGGATACCGACAAAGATTCCTCCCAGACCAAAGGTTCCCGCCCCGCAAGCTGTGGCTGGGCGCGTAGTGCCGGGAGTGGCACACCAACGGCAGGTGAGAGAGGGGGGACTCAGACCTTTCTTTCCGGGTGGGAAGGGCAGTCGTTCGCAGGCCGGCGCGCCACGCCGCCGGTGGCTGGCTGAGGGCTAAAATTGGATATGGACAAGGATTCATCCCAGAGCAAAGGTGCACACCACGCAAGGCCTGGCTGGGCGCATAGTGCCGAGAGTGGCACACCAACGGCAGGGGAGAGAGGGGGAGCCCAGGCCTTTCTTTCCGGCTGGTTCCCTCGCTTGGCCTTGTCTCCTACCACCAGTCGGCCCTCGGGGCCCTCGCCTGGCACGGCCCGCCCACCACGGTTTGGCCACCAAAGCCCTCACCCGCCCTGGCCATCCCACCACCGGTCGGCCCCTGGGGATCTCGACTGGCCGGGCCCACCCACCACCAGTCGACCCCCGGAGTCATGGTCCGACCCGGCCCGCCCACCACCGGTCGGTCTCCAGAGCCCTCGCCCGGCCCAGCCACAACCGATCGGCCCCCAGGGCCCTTGCGCCGCCCAGCCCGCCCACCACCGGTCGACCGCTGGGGCCCTTGTCTGCCCTGGCCCGCCCACCACCAGTCAGCCCCTGGGGCCCTCCTCCAGCCCAGCCTGCCCACCACTGGTTGGTTTCCAGGGCCCTCGCCCGGCCCCGCCCTACCACCACCAGTTTGCCCCTGGGTCTATCGCTTGGCCCAGTCCTACCACCACAAGTCAACCCCCGGGGCCCTCGCCCAGCTTTGCCCACCCACCACCAGTTGGCACCCGGGGCCCTCATCAGACCCGACCGGCCCACCACCAGCTGGCCCTTGGGGCCCTCACCCAGCTCTGTCCACCCACCACAGGTCGGCCCGCGGGGCTCTCACCCAGCCCGGCCCGCCCACCACAGGTCGGTCCACGGGGCCCTCGTCAGGCCCGGCCTGCCAACCACCGGTCGGCGCCCGAGGCCCTCTCCCGGCTCCTCCCACCCACCACCAGTCGGCCCCCAGGGCCCTTGTCCGGCCTGGCACGCCCACAACCGGTCGGCCCCCGGGGTTCTCGTCAGGCCCAGCCTGCCCACCACCAGTCGGTCCCCAGGGCCCTCCTCCGGCCCGGCGGGCCCACCACCGGTCGGCCCCCTGAGCCCTCGTCCGGCCTGGCACGCCCACAACTGGTCAGCCCCCGAGGCTCTTGTCAGGCCTGGCCCGCCCACCACCGGTCAGCTCCCGAGGCCCTCGCCCGGCTCCGCCTGCCCACCACCTGTCGGCCCCCAGGGTTCTCGTCAGGCCCAGCCTGCCCACCACCGGTCGGCTCCCGGGGCCCTCGTCCGGCCCTCCTGCCCACCCCTGGTCGGCCCACTGGGCCATTGTCCAGCCCGGCCTGTCCACCACAGGTCGGTCCCCGGGGCCCTCGTCAGGCCCGGCCCACCCACGACCGGTCGGCCCCCTTGGCCCTCGCCCGGCCCGACCTGCCCACCTCCGGTAGGCCCCCGGGGCCCTCATTAGTCCCAGTCTGACCACCACTGTTGACCACAGGGGCCCCAGCCCAGCCCGGCCCGCCCACCATCTGTCTGCCACCAGGGCCCTCATCAGGCCCGGCCCACCCACCACACGTTGGCCCCCGGGGCCCTCGCCTGGCCTGCCTGCCCACCACAGCTCAGGCCCCGGGGCAATCGTCCGGCCCCGCCCATCCACAACCGGTCTACCCCCAGGGCCCTCGCCCAGCTCCTCCCGCCCACCACCGGTCAGCCTGCAGGGCCCTCGTCCGGCACTGCCCGCCCACAACCGGTCGGCCCCCAGGGCCCTCGCCCAGCCTGGCCCGCCCACCACCGGTCAACCCCCAGGACCGTCTTCCAACCTGGCCCACCCACCACCGGTCAGCTCCCGGCGCCCTTGTCTGGCCCGTCCTACCCACCACCGGTCAGACTCCGGGGACCTCTCCCAGACTGGCCCGCCCACCACTGGTAGGCCACCTGGGCCCTCGCCCAGCTCAGACCGCCCACCACCGGTCTGTCCCCGGGTTCCTATTCCAGCTGGGCCCGCTTACCGCTGGTCGGACTCCGGGGCGCTCCTCTGGCCGGGCCCGCCCACCACAGGTCAGCCCCCGGGGCCCTCGTCCGTCCAGGCCCGTCCACCACCGGTTGGCCCCTGGGGCCCTCGTCCGGCTGGGCCTGCCCACCACTGGTCGGCTTCCTGGGCCCTCGTCCAGCTTGGCCTGCCCACCACCAGTCGGCCCCCGGGGCCCTCGTCCGGCCTGGCCCGCCCACCACCGGTCAGCCCCCGGGGCCCTTGTCCGGCCGGGCCTGCCCACCACTGATCAGCTGCACGGGCCCTCGTCCGGCCGGGCCTGCCCACCACCGGTCAGCCCCCCAAGGCCCTCGTCAGGCCCCACCCACCCACCACCAGTCAGTCCCCGGGACCCTTGTCCAGCTCTGACCGCCTACCATTGGTCAGCCCCCGGGGCCCTCATCCGACCAGGCTGAACTATGACCGGTCGGTCTCAGGGGCCCTCGTCCGGCCCCGCACACCCACGACCGGACGGTCCACGGGCACTCGTCAGGCGGGGCCCACCAACGACCAGTTGGTCCCCAGGGCCGTCGTCCGTCTGGGCCCACCTATGACCGGTCGGTTCCCAGGGCCCTCGTCTGGCCCTGCCCACCCACGACCGGTTGGTTGCCGGGGCCCTCGTCTGGCCCCACCCACCCTTGACTGGTCAGTCCCTGGGGCCGGAGCAGACGAGGTCCTCAGTGACCGACCGGTCTTGGGTGGGCGGGGCCAGTGAAGGGCCCCGGGGACCGACCAGTCCTTGGTGGGCCCGGTCGGACGAGGGCCTGGGAACTGACCGGTCGTGGGTGAGCCCGGAGGGACGAGGGCCCCGGGGACATACCATTCGTTGGTGGGCCCCGCCTGACGAGTGCCCGTGGACAATCTGCTCGTGGGTGGGCGGGGCTAGACGAGGGCCCCGGGGACCAACCGGTCGTGGGTGGGCCCGGACGGGCGACGGCCCTGGGGACCGACCAGTTGTGGGTGGGCCTGGCTGGACGAGGGCCCCCGGGACTGAACGGCCAAGGGTGGGCCCGGCCAGATGAGGGCCCCAAGGACAGAGTGGTCATTGGTGGGTGGGGCCTGAGGAGGGCTCTGGTGACTGGTCAAGGGTGCGCGGGGCCAGACGAGGGCCCTGGGGATGGACTGGTCGTTGGTGGTCCCCAACTGACAAGTGCCCGTGGACCGTCTGGTTGTGGGTGTGCGGGGCCGGACAAGGGCCCCGGGGACCGACCTGTCGTGGGTGGGCCCGGCCGGACGAGGGCCCCGGGGTCCAACCAGTCTTGGGTGGGTGGGGCTGGCGGAAGGCCCTGGGGACTGACCGGTCCTTGGTGGGCGGGGCCGGACGAAGGCCCCAGGAACTGACCAGTCGTGGGTGAGTGGAGCCAGATGAAGACCCCGTGGATCGACCGTTCGTGGGTGGGCTTGGCCGGACAAGGGCCCTGGGGACCAACCGTTCGTGGGTGGGCCGGGCCGGACGAGGGCCCCGGGGTCTGACCAGTCGTAGGTGGGCAGGGCCGGAGGAGGGCCCGGGGACCGACCAGTTGTGGTTGGGTGGGGCTGGACGAATGCCCTGGGGACTGAATGGTCATTTGTGGGCCCGGTGGGACAAGGTCCTCGGGGACCAACCTGTCTTGGGTGGGCAGGGCAGGACGAGGGCCCCAGGGACCGACTGGTCATGGGTGGGCCCTAACTGTAACTGAGTGTTGTCCCTGATTGGTAATTGTATCCTGCTGCTGTCATGGGAATTGATGATTTGGGTTTTCAGGTGCTTTGTGAGTGGTAATTGGTCGCTATTGTTGTTATGGGAATTGGTGATTAGGGTTTTCTCCTTCTTTGTAATTGTTTTGTGAGGAGTCCAGGGGCAGGGGAGGGTGTTTTGGGATCGGCTGTGTTAGGGTTAGGGTGTGCTTTGTTCAGGTTTTGTACTTTAGGGTTTCTGAGGTGTTTTTTTCAGTGAGGGTTTTTTAGGGGCTTATTTTTTAGCGCTAGGTAGTATTTTGGTTGTGATTTGGGTGTTTCTTCCCATACTTCTTTTTATTTTTTAAAAAAGTATTTTTTTTCTGTATTTCTTTTTTTGCCCACAAGGTGGCAGTGTTTTCAGTAATTTTTCTGTTGCAGTCGCGGGGTGTTTTTGGTAGGTGGCACTGGTGTGTATTTTTTGTTTTGCAGTTCCTACGTTTTGTCGGTAGGTGGCAGTGTTCAAGGTCAGGTATATGTGCAATTCCTTTTGTGCGTCAGTAGGTGGCAGTGTTGTGTGATTTTTCAATTATTGGATAGTGGCTTAGAAAAAATTATTTATGTGGATAATTTGAGAAAATGTATTCAGTAGTTAGATCATTTGCAAGAAAGAGTAGTTAAATCATTGGATAATTATTGAGGTATTAGTTTCTTAATTGGAGTAGTAGGAGAGATGCAATTGGATAAGTGGTTAAGTAGCTAATCAGTGAATAAAACAAGTAAATATTTATTTTTTTAAAGCCTTAATTTCTTTTTTTCTATGTTTACTCCCTGAGAGCAAGCCAGCCCCTACTGCTGCTTTTTTAAACTAAGTAAAGAAAAGAAACTAAGAGAAATAAAAGCAAGAGAAGAAACGAAGAGAAATGAAAGAACAGAGTAGAGAAAGAAGAGAAATGAAGAGGAGAAAAAGGGAAAGAAGTGAAGAAAAGAAAAAGTAGAGAAAAGACTACATGACACAAAATAAAGACAGGAGCCAAAGAGTGGAAAAATCCCCAAACCCTTATTGCAACTTTATTGAATGACTGCTTGTGACCTCGTGAAATTACAAAAGTTACAATACAAAAGAAATTACAATACAAGAGTTACGAGTTACAAGTTACAACAATACAAGATACAAGTTACAACAATACAAGTAAGTTGTTGTTAGTATACAGGTTACAATCCAGGTTACAAGACAGTAAAAATACAGTACAACCCACCGATGCAATACATTGTATTCCAATGGTCAGCACAATTACAAAACAATACACAGCAATACCAACAAAACACAAATAAAGGCAAGACAATAGAAAATGAAGTCTACTTTCTACAAACGTGATTGAATTACTTTTCAATTTGACACCAGATGCAAACCAAAAGAAAAAACCACACACATATAGTGTTACACTCATTCACCCATAAACCCTCTGGAGCTTACACATAAACCAACTCTCACTCACTCCTCAACCACTCCATTACCCATCAGCAACTATCGGGACAAAGGGGCGGTGCTCCCTTGGGAATGAGGTTCCTGGGAAGCCTCAAAAATCAAGAAATTGGCCTGCCTGACAAAACCCGGGTCCCGGGACAGCACACGCCCAAACCCTGGTGATAAACGTCGCCTCGCAGATCAGAAGGGACCCGGGGAAAAAAACCCCAACTGGGGGGAAAAAAAAATCCCCCAGCTGGGGTTTTTTTATTCTAAATTTAAAATTATCTAAGAACAACCTGAAAGAGAAACAACACAAACACAAGGTTAGAACCTGACACTACACACACCCATCCCCTCCACCGCCACACTTCAACCGCTCCCCTGAGCCGCAAGCCACCCCTGAATATTGGCGCATGCTCAAAAAGCTCCCTCAGGAACACGGTTCCCAGGAAGCCTCAAAAATCAAAAAATCGTCCTGCCTGACAGTTTGAGCCACATGAGAAATCCAAAAAATCCAATTTTCAGGCTTCTCCACCCCCTCCCACAATTTATGCCAACACCAAAGAGAAACTTTCAGGCCAGAGGCTTCTATAGGGGAAGGGGGAAGTATATACATTTATTTACACAAATAAATACTATACAAGCTAAAGACAACTATATATATATTACATTTCTATCAACCAGTCCTTTCAAGCCCCTCCTTTAAGTTTAGTCCAGGAAAGAGCCTTTTCAAGGCTGGAAAGTAACCAGTCCCTCTGTGGGAGTGTTCTGGGCCTGAACGCTCCCCCCTCACTAAGTTCCAGTTGTTTTGTTGTAGTCTCTCCTCCTCATGAAGTCCAGGAAGATAGCTCTGAGTCCTTGCTCTCCTGCCGCTGTGTGATCTCTCTCTCTCATACCTCGGTTCGTAGGCTGCTGCAGTGTGGTTCTGCTTATCAAGCGTCCACGTCCTGGCATGTGGATTTCTCCTCGGGTTTTTGGTTGTCCTGCGTGGCAGAGGCATCCTCCGGGCCCCTTTCTCTCTCTCTGGGGGTCCGTCTCCAATTTCGCTTGGGACTCTTCTCCCGAGCGCCGGGCCTACCTCCACGGCCCGTCCACTTGGCTCAGCTTCAGTGCTGAGCCTCTCCTCCACTTTCCAGCGGAGGGAAAGGAAAGCCCCCCTCCACAGCTTAGCTGTAGAAAAGGAGGGGGAAGAGGGCTTGGCTGCAAAAGCCTGGCTCTCTCCTCTTACCTCAGGTCAGGTGCTGTGAGTCTCTTCCCTCACTGCACACACTCAAAAATGCTGCCTCTAACTCTGCTCTGGCCTAGGCAGAGCTGGGGGGGCCGCAGGGCTCCCCTCTCCCCCCCGGAGGTGGGGGGAAGAAGGAGCCCAGGCCCCCCCCCCCGGCCTTCCACACCTACAGGCAGCAGACACCAACAGCCCAAGTGCCAACACAGAACTTGCCAACCACTTCCGGTGCTGTGAATATATGATTTTTGAGCAGAAGCGAACAGCATGAGTGGTGATTGGCTCTTCAGGGAACACTGCCCTGGCACCCAATCACCTCTGAGCACCCCTCTCTCAAGGGGGGGCCAATCTCAAACCATGACACTGACAAAACCCGGGTCCCGGGACGGCCCACGCCCAAACCTTGGCGATGAACGTTGCCTTGCGGACCGGCCGGGACCTGGGAAAAAAACCCCAGCTAGAGGGGAAAAAAAATCCCCCAGCTGGGGTTTTTTTATTCTAAATCTTAAATTATCTAACAACCTGAAAGAGCAAAACACTAATACAAGGTTAGAACCACTGCCAAACACATACAAACCTTTTTCATCCTCACTCACACCTCAACTGTTCCACTACCGACTGGCCGATGAGGGGCCATCGCTATACATCCACAGCCCTCCTTGGGAACATGGTTCCCACGGAGCCTCAAAAAAAACCTCAAAAAGAAACAAATCACCAAGCACAAGTACACCCCTCACAGCCGAGCACACCCCTCACAGACAATACCAATGACAGAACACTAAAAGCAAAACAAAAGTAAGGTACAAAGCTCATGGCTAGGCTTCGCGAACGAAGATTTGGGAAGGACTCTACCCACGTTTCTTGCAAGCGCGTTGGTGGCTAAAAAGGCCAATACGAGATAGACACGTCCGGTTGCAAAAGACACAGCAGAAAGACTCCTTAGATGGTATATTCTGCAAGGCTCGATTCTTTCTGCACTGTCTTTTCTCCTCAAGAGTGATCCTGCGTGCTTTCTCAAAAGCATCAGCAGCATTATAAATGGTCTGTCTCCAGGCCTCCCGATTAGAGGCCAGAGTAGACCAGTTATGGTGATCAATATGCCCGAGGCTGAGTTGTTGCTTCAGGGAGTCCTTGTATCTTTTCTTCGGAGCTCCTCTCTTGCGACAGCCAGTGGCAAGTTCACCAGGTACAAAGCTATACAATTCCTAACTGACACACAGCAATACAACGCTACAACATTCACATACGGAGCAATACAACTGCAAATATAGAAGTATACCAGACAGAACATTACATGGCAATACAAGTGACACAACATAAAAAGCACTACAAATGAAGGCACAAAGATATACAAGTCCTAACTGACACACAAAACACAACACGGTGACACTCGGATACGGACCAATACGACTACAACTACACGAGTATACGATACGGAGCGGTATGAGGCAATACAAATGACAACATAAACAGAGGCCGGACTTTTCCTATTCTACTTGGAAAACACAGTAACTACACCCAAGAAGCAACCTGCAACACTAAATAAACATATACAATGCTACACACATGTAGTCCATAACTCCTTGGGCAGGGACTCCCCGTGGGTCTCAGAAGATTCCATCAATGATGCTTCGGCCAATCTCACCCCGGCCACCGTAAGTTCTGAGAAAACTGATGCTGTCTTTTGCCCCAGGAATCTGAATCTCCTTTGGGTGGCTGTAAGACAAAAGGGGAGGAACTCTGAAGCCTGCCTTCTGTGACCTTGGACTTACCCCCAGACCGACCCTATACATTTTGTAGGCCCAAAGAGCCATGACAAATGCCTATACCGTAGACACTGTTTGCTACTCTACCGTAGACACTGTTTGCTACT